AAAAAACATCGTTTACATTAATAATGTATCCAAGCTTAATTCATGATTGATTTTTATGAACCAGATCTGATTTTACAGAATAAATAAAAATCTGATTGAAATTCATTTTAATCAAAAATATTTAAACTTGATGAAATATGAGAATGTATTGAATATATTGTGAATGTATTAATACATAAAAATGTATAAATACATTGTAATATAATAATTTAATATATATTCTACAAAATGTGCAGAGAAAAAATATGTATGAAAAACTGTGAGTAAAATCTAATAGAATCTAATATGCTCTTATTATCTTTAATATACGAAAAACGTCTTTAAAAAAAACATAAAGAGAAAGAAATGATAGTAAATATTTCATTATTTCAAAAAAATAAATACATAAAATCAAAATATATTAAAATTATTCTCTATTTAAAGTACGCTAATTGGAATGTAATGTTTAAACCAATACATTTGTGTTTAAAAAATCTAAAATAAAAGTTGAGTTAATTAGAATATTAAAATAATTAATAATTAAACGATAATAATATTTTAGATTTTTTAAAAAGATATACATTGCTTTAAACATTACATACCTATTAACGTACTTTGAATATTAAATAATTTCGATGTGATATTCTTTTCGATGAAAATTTCCCCCTCCGAAGTCACCGCTGTACCGGAACGTTTAAATAGATGTGCATTAGTTTAAACAATTGCATAGTAATGAAAACAGCTAGAATCGGAGCGTTGAAATATTAAATTTTATTGATTAGATGAATTATTTTCTTTATACACATATGCAACGTTCGGAAAGTCATATAAACGATATTCAATAAACGTATTGTCACAGATAGAAATGATTCATTTCAACGGTGGATTCCAAAGAGGGCGGTGTTCCGAACATATATCAGTGCTTCTAAATTGCAATATACATTTTTTTCGATTAATTAAAGATTATTTTAATACTCTAATGAACTCTTCTTTTATTTCAGATTGTTTAAGCATATATGTACTAGTATAAGCATTACATACTTATTAACATACGTTAATTTTTACATGATTTCGATGTGATAGTCTTTTCGATGAAAATTCCCCCTCTGAAGTCACCACTGCACGGGAACGTTAAAACAAATTTACATTTATTTAAACAATTACGTAAAAATTAAAAAAATGTAAAATCAGAACGTTATACTCTTAATTTTTATTTAATACAATTAATATTTTCGTTATACACACATGCGCAACTTTCAGAAAGCCATGTAAACAACTGTCGATAGAAAAAACTTTTTTATGTGACAACGTCTCAGTCTAACAGCAGATTTCGAAGAGGAAGGTACATCAACAGGTACATTCTCAATTTTACCTTACAATATACATTTTCATTGATTAATTAACAATTTTTTTAATATTTTGATACATTCTCTTTATATTTCAGATTGTTTAAACATATATGTACTAGTATAGGCATTACATACTTATTAACATACTTTAAATATTAAATTATTTCGATGTGATATTTTTTTMGATTTCAATTTCCCCCTCCGAAGTCACCACTGCACAGGAACGTTTAATCAAATGTACGTTAGTTTAAACAATTACATAGAAACGAAAAAATGTTAAAATTAGATCGTTGTAATCTTCAATTTAATTCATTAGATGAATTTTTCTTTTTTACACATGCACAACGTTCAGAAAGTCATATAAACAACTTTCAATAAAAGTAATTTACATAGAAGAGAGAGGATCATTTCAACGAGAGATTTCAAAGAGGAAAGTGTATAGATCATATATTCGGAGCTTTTTTAACAACAATTGACATTTCTATCGATTCATTAACTATTGTTTTAATATTTTAATACACTCTCTTCATATTTCAGATTGTTTGAACATATATGTACTAGTATAGGCATTACATATTCTTATTAACATACTTTAAATATTACATAATTTCGATGTGATATTCTTTACGATGAAAATTTCCCCCACCGAAGTCACCACTGCACAGGAACGTTACAACAAATGTACATTAGTTTAAACTATTACATAAAAATATAAAAATGGTAAAATAAGAGCGTTGGAATCTTAAATTTTATTGATTAGATTAATTATTCCCTTTATACACATGCGCAACGTTCAAAAAGTCATATAAACAACTTTCAATAAAAGTATTTTCATACAAGAGAAAGTGCCAGTCTCAAGGTGGATTTCGAGGAAGACGGTTGACAAAACGTATACTCCGAGTTTTTTTAACAATAATTAAACTTCTATCGATTATTTAACTATTATTTTAATACTCTAACACACTCTCTTTATATTTCAGATTGTTTAAACATATATGTACTAGTATAAGCATTACATACTTATTAAAATACTTTAAATAATATATATTTTCGATGTGATATTCTTTTCGACAAAAATTTCCCCCTCCGAAGTAACCACTGTACAACCACCTTATAAAAAATCTACATCAGTTTAAATAATTGCGTAGCAATGCAAAAAGCTAAAATCAGAACGTTATAATCTTAAATTTTATCGATTAAATGAATTATTCCTTTTTTACACATGCGCAACGATCGGAAAATCATATAAACAACTTTCAATAAAAGTAAATTTCTAGGGGGCACAGACTCAGTCTAACAGGAGACTTCGAAGGAGAAGGTACATAGATCATAAATTCCGAGCTTTTTAAAAACTATAAACATTTCTATCGATTAATTAACAATTGTTTTAATATTTTAATACACTCTCTTNACATTTCTATCGATTAATTAACAATTGTTTTAATATTTTAATACACTCTCTTTATATTTCAGATTGTTTAAACATATATGTACTAGTATAAGCATTATATACTTATGAACATTCTTTAAATATTAAATGATTTCGATATGATACTCTTTTCGATGAAAATTTCCCCCTCCAAAGTCATCACTGCACAGAAACGTTAAAGCAAATTTACATTTATTTAAACAATTACGTGAAAATTAAAAAAATGTAAAATCAGAACGTTATAATCTTAATTTCTATTTAATACAATTAATATTTTCGGTATACACACATGCGCAACTTTCAAAAAGCCATATAAACAACTGTCGATATAAAAAGCTTTTTTATGTGACAACGTCTCAGTCTAACAGAAGATTTCGAAAAGGAAGGTATATTAGCAGGTACATCCTCAATTTTACGTTACAATATACATTTCAATTGATTATTTAACAATT